AATGTAGTACCGTTAAGTTTCATAAACAGTGTAGAAAAAGACATAATTTTTTTATCCTATTTTTTATTAAAATTTAAGAGTTTTTCCTTAAATTGAAGTCTTTTTCATTAAATAAAGTTATACATGATTTTTTGTTAAAATAAACTTAACCCAACCATTTTCAAGAAAGTTCTCAAGTTTATGATAAATCAACCATAAATCAACAATCTAACAACAAATAAACCATAAAGAACAAAGTTATGGAAAAAGTTATAGGGTTACTAATAATTGATGTGAAATATTCTAACACTCAAATTAAAACCCTATGATTGTAGTATATGAAAGTAGGGATCATTTTAGGCCGGGGATTAGAAGGGATGCTAATCTACTCTAAACTGACTTAAAAACACAAAACAAAACTTAAAAACACTTAACTAGACTTATATGACTCAAAACAAACTACAAAGACTCAAAGCAACACAAAACAATCAAATAGACTCAAACTAGACTCTAAAGGGTGATTTGGACGAAAATTACTTTTAACTGGACTCAAAACACTTAACAACATAAATTTGGATAGATTCTAACTAAAAGACACAACCAAGTAAAGGGGGATTGGATTTTGGACGAAATTAAAGTAAAGACAAGCAGATTAAAGACTCTTAAACAACTTGGACGAAATTGGGGACAAATATGGGTGAATGGCTAGCTAGAGGGTTTATCTCCACACATGACACACATGCATACAAATTGATTTCCAGTTATTATTCTTTAAACCATGAATAACAACACCCTAAGTTAGTTGCATCGCACAACTAACCATCAGATTTTCCTTATTTCATTGAATTAGATAGAATACGCATCTAAACCAAATTATCTTTCTCAAGTTCCCTATATGAAATGCATGATAGAGATACATGTCAAAAGTCATTAAGTTCTATGAAAATCATAAGCATTGACAAGACATTCATCACTATGAAACGCATGAGACTCATACCAATGATTTACTTAACATAATTGTGACTAGCAACCTCCACTACTTGTGAATATAAGTGAATAACTATTACGTGAAACCCCCTTATACTCTAGCATCAAATTTATGCATGCAAATTAAGTGTCGACCCCCGACCCACATACATAAACAAGTTTTAATAACTTAAATAAGCAAATCACATTCATGCCTTAAGAAATAATAATTGGACGTAATCAATTCATATAAAACATATAATCATGGCTTCGAATTCACCTCTAACTAAAAAGAAGTTAGTTCCACATGTTCACAAAACAAAGATAATTAAACTTAAACATTACAAACAAAGATAGAATACACCTTAAAACACTCGAAGTGGCACCTCCTTCTTCCTTGCTGCCAACAATGGGGATTTGTGTGAATTTAGGCTCCTGAGGTGTGGTGGATGGTGTGGTGTGAATTTGGGGTAGAGGGTGGTGGTTTTTGAGTGTTGTGGCATCATGTATTTATAGGGCTGAAGGGGAGGCACAAAATTGGGCTGAAAATGAGAGGAATTAGGACTCCAAATCACCAAAGAACAAGGACACTTTCAATTAAATTCCAAGGAGGATAAGGAATGGTCCTTATGGCAGATTCTAGAACTTCTAGAAGGGTTACATGTGACATAAACTTAATGCACGAAAATAGGGCTTCTAGAACTTGATATTTAGGTGATTTAATGTGAAAAGGAGTCCTCTTTGAAGTTGAATTAAGGTAGGAAAAGATTAGGATAGGAAAAGATAAAATAAGGTTGGATAAGGTTTGGATATGATAAGGAAATTTGGATAATATTCCTTCTTTATAGCTGATTCCTTATCTTCCAAGTCTTCAATTTAATTCTTCCATATGTTAATCACATTCCTAGCCTTTCTTGATCTTCAAATTCGTCCATCCACCTTGCTCCATGCATGTGCAATCCATTCCAAGCCCAAAACTACTCTAAAATGCTCCAAATTGCACTTTCTTGCCAACTTTGTCATTTAAACCTACAAACATACGAAAATAGCTTAAAACACTATAATAAATAGAAACTAACTTACTAAATGCAAAGAAACAAGCTAACAAAGTCGCATAAATATGCTCTATCAATAATAACATGATAATACTTATATACTTACTAGTGAGTATCTTATATACTCACTTTTTAGATTTGACCCAAAGATATTTTACATATGCTTTATTGTTTTAAAAAATAGTTCACGTGTTATTTAATTTTTCTTAGATTTTTAAAACAAGAAACACGTGTCATCTTTTGATCAAGTCAAATAAAAAGTGCATATATATGGTACTCACTAGTGCGTACTTAAGTATTATCCATAATAATGTGTCGGTGGTTATGATGTTGATTTAGAACTCCTTTGGAAGTCATTCTAAAATGATTGAAATTTCTTTTAGCAAATATATTTTTAGGTTCTAAAAAGCATTTAAAGTGCTTATTGCAAGAAGCACTAGTCAAAAAAAAAATTTTGGTTTTGAAAAGCACTTAAAGTGCTTCATATAAGAAGTACATAGTTGATGCTTCTTACCAGAAGCACTTTAAGTGTTTTTTTTTTTTTTTTTTTTTTCCAAAATTCACTTCCATTTTATTAAGAATTGATTTTAAAAATATTTTCACGAGAAGCGCTTTTAGCTATTTTAAGAGCACTCCAAACCAAACTCTTATTATTAGAGTGAATTGTTATTGACACTCCAAAATTCTCATTCTGCACTCTAAACTTTCTATATTTGGAAGGAAAAAAAATACTTGTGAGGAGTGTAGAATAAGATTTTTGGAGTGCCAATAACACTTCCCTTATTAGATTTGTATCTAATCCAAAATCAATTATCAGGTCAGTAAATGGAACGATTATTATGTATTAGTATAAAATAAAGCATAGACGTTTACATTATTCACCACACAAGTACTAATTAATTGTGACAGCTTATCAACTTAGCTTACCAATCTAACCAATAAATTAACAATCCTAACTACTGAATAAACTAACTCTATGAGCTGTTATCCGCTGTTGTACAATTTTTCTTCGATACATGTCCACACTAGTAACCTCTACATAACGGAAATTAAGTCTTGCATTATAGTTTTAAAAACATGTTAGGGTTTGAGTCGGATGATCATGTTCTAATATGCTATTTACGTATTGAGGGACCACACCGTACGTGCTTCAACATCACCTAATGAAGCATGCTATTATGCATGGGTTGCTTAATTATATTTTTTTTAAAAGACTAGCTGGTGACTTTGTCATAGCGCTCCACTATTCAGGTAGTTGAAAGACTCACAGAGGCATTTCATCCCCTGGCCACCATCGTGTGCTTCATCAGCATCAGAAATCAAGCCCATAATATAGCTTGTGGGATATGATCAGAAATTCAGTCGCAAACCACTGAGTCACCCGTGATGGTTGCTTAATTATGTGTTTGACTTAGAGAGACGTTAGTCATGAAGGGACATGATAAGAGCACGAACCTACTTGTAGTAGTGTTTGAAGTGATTTTTCGCATCTCTCTGTTTGCTCATCAACTCATACTACCCAACAGCCGGTTTTTCTTCAGTATGTGTGCACTTTTTCACATCGTCAAAGTGGTTGCTTTTTTCGAGCGGGGCATTACACTCAAGGACAACACTACCACTCAAAGCACCTAACACTAATTATTACAACTTGAGCAAGAATATAGAAGGAGGCACCTTGCCCAGCCTATCATCTAGCTGTAACCACTGCAATTTGAATTACATGACCTCCTAATTCGGCTTTGACATTCAACCGTATATAAAATCGTTCACTATCTTTCCGCGTAAACAATCAATCAGATTGGTTTCATGGTCTGTCTCCTCCTTACGTTTCTAAATTATTAACAATTGATAGACATGAAAGAATACACACACACACACACACACATGTGTATGTGTGTGTACAAGCCTTTTAGGGAAGGGATCTACATTTTTGAAAAAAAAAAAAAAAAAAGAGTAATGTTATTCATATCATGTTTTTTACCACATTTTCATACTACCTTTAGTAACATTTGATGTGGACAACCACATCATTTCAATTAATCATATTTTTAAATTTAGTTCATTATTTAATAAACTAATAATTAAGAAAAACTAGTTAATAAATGATGATTGTGGTATACGAAAGGTCTTTCTCCTTTCTTTCCATGGGTTTTGCAAATCTTTCAAATGATGTGGCTATCCACATCAGATGCCACCTAAGTTGGTATAGAAATATGATATAAAAACATGATATGAATAACATTACTCAAAAAAAAAAAAAAAGAATAAGGATTAATTACAGGACCCACTCCACATCGAATGTCAATGATTCAAACCGTTTATATTATAAATCTCAATTCATAGATCATCCTTGCAAAAATTAATTCAATCCGAAACCATTTACTCATTCAATTTTCACGATAAAATTTCAATGTTTCTTAGATCACACTGATTGTCAATTTTTTTTAAACTCAATTAAATGCTTCGAATATTTCTGATTTGACTAATATTTTGCAAGAATGGTCTAAATGGGGCAATTTGAAAAATGGATAGTTCAAATCGATGAAGTTAGATGTCGTTGGACTCCACTACTCATTCCGGTCACTTTTCTTTAAGGCTCTGTACACATGCATGTATATATAAGGTCCGTATGCATGTGCAGCACTACAAAAGTCATTTTCAAACAAAAGGTCCACCCTTACAACCAACCTAACATGTTTCCATCTAACGTGCTCTCTTCCATGTGCAATTGTCTCTCTTTCTCTCTCTCTCTCTTCCAGCTTTAAATCCAATCATATCAACCTACCCCATTAATAACCAAAATCTTTGTTTATTTTGATGAAATCTTGCAAGCATAATGGCCAGAAACCTCGGGCATCATCTAAACAGATATACCCAACACAATGAATGCAACGTCAACAAAGTCTTATCCCACTTAATAGCGTCAGGGCTTATGAATCCCAGAACGCCAACAAAGCCTTATACCAAACACAATGAATGAATTGTCAAAAGAAGAAAGCAAAACGGAATGAGGAATATCATTAAACAATCACTAATGAGTATGTGAAATATCATACAACAAACTTTCTTTAATTTCTTTAATTTTTTTCTTTCTCACGATCAGTAGCAACTCAATCAAGCTGTTAGCAATAGAAGGATCAATAACTGAAGGTTCAGGCACGCATGAGATTTAGTGACACAAAGATCGCGGAAAGAACGAGAAAAAAAAAAACAATAAATACAATAAATTTGTGATACCTGCTGCTTTACTTGATCATATCTTCCCCATCCCAACTCTTTCGAGTTTCTTTTTCTTGGTTCCAAAATGTTATAGTCTATTTCTTTTTTTATCATCGACAATCCATTGAATCAAATGAGTCAGCAAATCCGGAAGGTTTTGAAGGGATGCTTGATTGAGTTTGAGAGAAGGACATATCATCAAACATCCTAGAAGTACCTTCATTGGCTTGCCATCTTTGCAACGCTTGCGGAAGGCTCATGTGCAGGTCGATGCCAGAGTTTTCTTCTTCATGGGTGGTAGGCTTCCAGTGCTCAACAAGAGGACCCAGGATGTTGACAGCATGTCCCATGTCTGGTCTCTGGTACGGCTCACGAGCAGTGCAGTATCCTGCCAGCTCAGCAACTTTGTATATGCTCTCCATTGTCTCCTCATCGGGGTCAAGAGTTTGGTCAATAGCCTTTGGAATGTTTTCTTTGTTGACAAGGACTCTGCGGAACCATGAGACCAAATGAGACCGCTCATCTGGCATTGTATCATCTAGAGCTTTTCTACCGCTTATCAACTCCATCAAAACCACTCCGAAAGCATAAACATCTACTTTTGTAGTGACTCTGCCAGTAGCTGATTATAGGAACACAAATAACATCAATGTTCTAGAATAACGACACAACGACAATTAAATCATAGAGAAAAACGTAATTCACAATTTCAAAAGTGAACAACAAATTTACAAAACTCTCAAAATCGTAGCATCTGTTCCCAGTGAATTCAAAAGTCCAGTCAACAAATTACGTAAGGGTATTATATTGTCTCTTTTCCTTACTCTTTTTGAGTTCTAGAATCTAGTCAAAACAAAACAAAACATGCAGTGGAGACAAATACTATTTCCTCCTCCAAAGGAATTGGTTGACATGTTCAATGCAATTCAGTGGCAATATTAACTTGCAGGTCTGCGTACATATATAAGTTAGCTTGATAAGCTGGAAATCTGGAATGATTGAAGCTTAGGTAAATGCACGATTGTTCAATTAATTGATGAATATCTAAAGTTAGAGGGTTTCTCTTACCTGCATATTCTGGTGCGAGATACCCGAATGTCCCTGCCAACCTTGTCTCAACAGAATACTTCCCGTCGGGCGCGTTTTTAACCAGTCCGAAGTCAGCAACCTTGGCCCTCATGTCATCGCCCAGAAGTATGTTTGAGGGCTTTAAATCTCTGTGAATGAAACTTTGTTGAGCCAAGCTGTGCAAATATTCCACTCCTCGTGCCACATCCAATGCTATTGTTACTCTCTGCTTCCAAGTCAGTGGAGGCACTCCAATCTCGCGCCATTCACATAAATGCTGTGTTAAAGTCCCTTGTGGCATGTACTCGTAGACCAAAAGTCTCTCATTGCCATTGATACAGGATCCCAAAAGCGCAACCAAATGCCTATGCCTGACCTTAGTAAGGACCTGCGATTTCTGCCTGAAACTCGTTCAATCCCTTAGTGCCTACTGCCACAGATTCCATCCGTTTGACGGCAATTTTGGTCCCATCATGCAATTCGCCTTTATAAACAATTCCAAATCCTCCTCTGCCTAATATGTTGTCCTCGCTAAAATTGTTTGTCACTTGTCTTAGAACTTGGATCGAAATCGCAACATTTCCACCCTCAAAAACATGAAGGTCACCACTGCTCTGGCTTTGCAGTTCACTTGTAACTCCATTGTACCCATTTGCGCTACTCATAACATCACTCTTAGCAATTTCTATCCCAGTTAATGGATTAGCCACCCTTCCAAATTTCTTATGCTTTTTACTAGCATAACATTTGTAGGACACAAACAATACTACCACAACGAAAATAACAACGGCAATAACTATACCAGCAATCATACCAGGGGATACCGAAGGACCATTTGATGCCTGAGCCGGACTCCCACTAGGTGTAGTTCCATTAGAACCAGTACCCGAAGGAGTACCTCCTCCACCTCCAGTGCTCGGAGTTGTCCCAATCAACACATTACCAGTTGTAACTAACTTCACCGTAGATGGAAATTTCGGAATTGCCCCACTTAGATTGTTGTTGGAAACATCAAGAAGCTGAAGCTGAGTCAAGCTTAACAAGCTATCCGGTATCGACCCAACCAAATTGTTACGACTCAACACCAAATTTTTCAAAGATGTCAGATTGGCAAAAGCAGGAGAAATGGTCCCATTGAAATGCTTGTTGTCAAAATTCACTGTGAAAACCTTTCCCTGTGGATCACAAACAATGAAGCTCCATCCACTGCAAGGCTTGTTTCCTGTCCACGAATCAGCAAGCAAAACCGGGTATCCGAAAGCCCCTGCAACCTCAAGCAGCGTGGTGACCAGCGGATCACAAGTCCCTGGAGTCGTTTGACAAAAGCTATTACCATCAACTGTGGATTTCTCCACAGTGGATCCGAAAGCCGGCATTGGACCCTGCAGCTTGTTGTTGTCCAAAGAAACGTTCTTCAAAGAAGATATGGACATCAATGTGGCGGGCACAATGCCGGTAAACTGGTTATCGCGGAGCTGAAGATCGAACAAAGTTTCACACTTTGAGAGGTCTGGGATCGGACCAGTGAATTGGTTTTTTTGAAGCCAAACCTGGGACAACTGGGTCATGTTTGCTAAGACTTCAACGGTGCCAGACAACCCAAGTACCTGATTGTTAACCCAGAGGTTCTGAATCCCAGATCCAGAAAACGTTTTGGACAAAGGACCAGTAAAGTTATTGTAAGAAAGCCTTAGGTTTTGCAAGTTCGGAAACGAATCGAACACATCAGGCAACGACCCATATAAATTCACATTACTTGCAGCAAAAGTGACCAAGCTGGAAGCTTCAGTGAGTTCCGAGGGGAAAACCCAAGAGTCGAGATTGATGTTCTGGCTCATGCTCAAAATCTGCAAGCTCGAGAGGCCCGTGAAGCAGCCGGCGGGAATGGAGGTGAAGTTGTTGGTGTCGAGGTAGACTTCTTGGAGGGAAGAGAGGTTGGCCAAAGAAGGAAAGGCGCCGGAAAGAGAGTTGCTCTGGAGAGAGAGGGTGGTGAGCTGAGAGAGAGAGTTGAGATTTGAAGGCAGAGAGCCGGAGAGACCTTTGGAGGCTAAGTTGATGGAGGTGACTCTCTTTGAAGTGTCGCAGTTGACACCGTCCCAGCTGCAGTAGGCGGTGCTTGTGGACCAGCCTTTGGGTGCGGGTCTGAGGCCTGCTGCGAGTTTTGACATGACGTCGGAGTCGTCGGCGGCGGTGGGGGCGGTGGCGACCAGGAGAAGGAGAGAGAAAGCAAGAATGAGAGCTTGTAGGATTTTCTGCTTACCCATTTCTGGGTTTCTAGAGAGAGAAAGAGAGAGAGGGGGAGGCTGCTTTTTTGGTTTGGTGTTTCTGGTTTTGGTTTAGAGAGGGAGGCGTTTTGTGCAGGAAGACGACGAAAGGAAGGATGCTGCCTCTGATCGCTACGGCTGTTGAAGCCTTAGGTTTTCGTCTTTTTTTATTTTTTTACTTTTTATTTCTTTTATCAATCTTCTTTTCTTTTTTAAACTTGTATTATAGAATGTATATAAAAACCCATTTTCAATTAATCCCTTCAAGAATGAGAAATGTAGCCGCTTAGTAAATACAAGAGGTTTTAGACTTAGATCTCCTGGATGACGAATTTATAGCTAAATTATTCTTTTACTATTAAGAGCTTGTTTGGAAATACGTTAAGAAATGAATGAAAGTGTTTTTTTTGGTAAAATGTTTTTTAAATCAATTTTTAGTAAAAATTCTAGTATATTTCTTCAAAAAACACATATCTGGTGTTTCTTTCAAAAATACTTGAATTACTTTAAGAACCTAAAATTAATTTTACCAAAAATACTTTCAGTAATTTTAAAAATAACGTCCAAACGAGTCTAAAAGAAGAATGAGAAATATTATCGTATATTAGATAGCAATTTTCGTTCTTCCATTAATAATAAGCTCTAAAAAAATTGAAGCTTTTTGCTTTTAGAAAGAAAAAAAAAAGGAACAGAGAAAAAGGTTGATGTGGGTCATACATGTACATGTTGTCCGTAGATGAGAAATCCACAGACGCAAACTGATCCACTCTGGACTTGAAGAGGCAGTGGGTCCCCCACGTGAGAATGAGCTGGTGCTTCACTGATAACGCGTGGACCTCCCACCGTTTCAGGTTCACCAAAACGGCAGAAAATACGATCCCTCCGTCATCACACCGGTGGTTTATTCTTTCCGAAGTTTCGCGTTAATTAACGCCATTTGCGGATTGCTCGTTTGAACTTCACGTAAACCCCAAGCTTCCCATTTTTTGAGAATTCTTTTAGTGTGCTGAAAGTACTTCATTGAGTAATTTCGTTGAGCACTTATTAGACATTTATCAATTCCTACCAATATATGTTAAAAACTTATGCTAGCATATGTCGACAACTACTGTTATTTATAAATGTTTGTAGAGGGTGAATGCATAATACTATAGAGTAATGTTAAAGAGTGCCAAGACTTGTCAAATAAGGTATTTTATCGAGCATATGATGCACCTAATAAAGTCGCACACAATAAAAGAGAAAAGGAAGCCAATATAATGGAAATAGGAGGAGATTGTAATTTAATTTGTCTAAGTTATTTATAGAAGTCAAACATAATACACAAATAAAATACATGGGGTGTTTGAAGTGTTAGGGTCAAGAACAACCATAGACCCCATGCTAGCTCCGTCACTAATAGAAAGTGTAGGAATTTTATTGAACCTCTTTCTAAGCCAACTTATTCTCTACACCCATATCTAAACTACATATTATTGAAACCCTCTTTGTCAACCAAAAGAGAGTCAAAAGACCTTTTTATCTTCTATCACGACAAAAATGTTAAGGACAGTAATGTAATTTTAAAGAATAAAATTTTGGTTTTTTTTAAACCTCACCTACAGTTAATTTGATCATCTCCATTTAAAAATAATAATAAAAATAAAAAAATAAAACCTCTGTTTGGGCCAAGCCCAAAATAACGATTTTGGCCCAAGCCCATAATCACTTTCGGTCCAATAAGAAAGGTGTTAGGAATTTCAGTATATTCTCACCAAGGGCCCCACCCAATAGGGATACGGTCGAGTCCTATTAGGAAATGGTTTCATTTGGATAAGGGTGAGTGGCCGAGTCCTAGTATAATAAGGAATCATCAGAGGCCAATTATCCTCTAAATAGGAAAAGATGTCAAGAATAAAAGGTTGAATTTGGGTGATAATAAAGCTAGATTCAGAATCCTACATGAACCAGGAATGACCGAAGCCCATTTGGATTTAATCAAGGAATTGAAGTCCGAGTAGGGTTCTACTTCGACTGTGAGGAATCACTACTATAAATAGAGAGAAGAGTACATCATTCAAGTCTCCCCAAATCAACACACAAAATTATCCTGCTCAAACTCTCGCTCTATGCGAAACCTCTCAAACATCTTGAGATTTTTATTTCCCTTTTTTTCCACCAACATACCTTCAGTTTGGATAAACAACATTATGTTGGCAACTTGCAACACCTTCAGTTTGGGTAAATAGCACTGGAGCTGTAGAATCAGCCGACCGAAGAGCATTTTCAGTTTGGATAAATAACAATGCTTCGAGATCCACTGGTAATCTATCCAAGTCTTGGCTAGCAAGGAATCTCTGAATCATTGTTAGAAGAGGTCATCTCATCAACCTTCTTGGTGAAGTGAGGTGTTACTAAGTTACGACATTCAACACATTGAAAGCCAAATTTGATATTGAACTTCGCAGAACTAATAGCCTTGTCTTCAGGCTTTAGAACCCGAAGGCCGAGACATGTTCCTTCATCGGCTGCGGTCACAAGATTCAGAAGTCATTAGTGCATTCAATGCCACATCAGCATTCATTCACTCCTCGACCAAGCTCAGCCAACGAGTTAGCACACCCCTCATTCAACCGAATGACATAGTTAGCTTATTAGTTATTTGGCCTGTGTGCCACGTAGGCTAAGTAGTTTTTAGGGGCAACAACCATCTCTCCCTCTCTCCCCACTCCCACCTTCTCTCTCACTCTCTTCCTCTCTCCTTCAATTTTAAAACCAAAGGAAAAAAAAATTCACATACTTTATGTGTCGGCATATACTAGTTATTTTTATTTAAACTACCAATATCTTTTTAAACCCAACTTTACTACCTAAACTACCCTCACAAATCAATTCAATATGTAAGTTTATAATTATCAAATCTGTTATACATTTTCAAACACTTTGATTGTTTTATCTATTGGTCGAAATTATTCATCTTTTGACTTCTAAAAATTTATGAAATTGTTTTGATTTTCAAATTTTTCACCATAATAAGAGAGAAATTAAGAGAATGTATTGTAGCAACCTCCCAAATCAAAAAGGAGAAACTGAAAAATCTCCTGTATAACTTTAAAAATTTATGTGTTGCTAGTACATGTGATTGTGTAAATTCTGATAGATTTGATTCGAGTAAAGATCGGAACTTGAACCTCAACTCCTGACCAGCCATTTCTTCCTTCAATTCAACTGAGTTCTTTGTTGGAAACCCATAAAACAAAATCACAGATCCACGCCCTTGATTCAAATCGAACCAAGCTCTGAAACCATTCTAGTGTGTATTTAAAATTTGAGTGGTTGTTAGCTAAAGAAAATCAAAGAGAATTTGATCTTCAAGTTGCAGAAGATGGGTTAAAAAAGAAAGGAGAAAGCAAAATCGAAAACAATTTTCTAAATCTTCATTAGATTTTCTTGCACTCAATTAAACAAACACATGAAGTGTGTGTGAAATAGCCGTTGCTAGCTCACACCTCAGCTCAGGCTAGAGATGTGATTTGCACATGGACAACTTAGGCCATCTCTAATCAACCTGGCCAAAAGTCTAGTGGGCTCCATCGGGTCAAAACCACCAAATCAGGCCAACGGGTTGGCCATTTTTAGCTAGCCACCAGCCCGATAAGGCCAGCCCATTTGCACTCCAACAGTAACCTAACGTCAGCTAACCGTTGTTAGCTGACGTCATGCTGACACCAGGTAGCCATTGGAATTTGAAAAAAAAAATTTGGACGAATTTTTTCTATAAATACCTAAGCCATTCCTACACCATTTCTCACATACTTTTCACCATCCATACTATCTTACCTCATTTTATTTCAATTCTTCACATTTTATTCTCTTACCTCTTCCAATAATCTTTCCTTTAATTTTTTTCAATAATTTTCAAATGACCACATCTGCAATGAAAGGAAGGGCTTGGACCTGAAATGAAGATGAAGCTTTTTGCAGGGCTTATAAATGGGTCTTGGAAGATAGTGTCAAGGGTAGTTCTCAAACAACTGAAGGTGTTTGGACTCATACGTCCAAAAAGTACTATGAGTTCTACGAAGGCACCACTCCACCAAATCCCGGAAACCACGAGAGTTGTTATTCAAGATGGAAAAAAATTTCTTCAACCAAGTTTGAATAAATGGCATCAAGCCGTGTTAAGGGCCGAAAGTAGACATGAAAGCGGAGCCAATTACTTCGACGAAGTAAGTGTTTCACAAGTTATTTTAAATATTTAATTATATTACATTTAATTTCATAAATTAATTTCCTTTAATTTTTGTAATTATATTTTCTAGGTACGCCAATCGGTGAAATTGTATATGGAGGACATGAAAAAACCTTTGGTCATCACGGTTGTTGAGAAATTTGTAAAGGGTGAGTATTACTTGAAGATCTACCTTAAGCAAGATTTGGTCCTACGCCGGCGTTCAGAAATGTTTCCACAAATGTAGTTGGGGATGAACAAGGATCTCCTATCATTCAGGAAATAAGGGTAGAAAATTCGTTTCCGGGTCAATCTTCCATACCAAGAACTATGGGACGAAACAAGGCCCTAAAATTGAAGGAAAATGGCAAGGCAAAGGAGGATTTAGCCTTTCGAGAGGAAATGGCGTCCTCACTGCGATTAATGGCAGAGCAAAATGCCATTGCCACGGAAGAAAGGAAGCATAGGCACGAAGAACGGGCAAAACAAATACAAGAAGAGATGGATGATAGGAACATTGATAGGAGCATATTTAGGCGACTTACTTAGCTTGTTTTCGTGCATCTATGTTGTTAATTCATAGTTGTTTTAGTAGTTTAAGCCATTTTCGTGTGTTTTTAGGTTCATATGGCTAAGGAAGCAAAAAGATGCATTTTGGAGCATTTTGGAGCAAAATTGGGCTTGGAATGGATAGCATATGATTGGAGCCAAAGTGTTGGACGAATTTGAAGGCCTTGTATTCATTTTGGACATAAAACAAAGGGCCTAGCCCATTCTCTCTTAAACCAACCCCAAGGCCATGCATTTCCTTCCAATTCCAAAGCCCACAATCACTTCAAAAGCCATGCAAAGAACCATCCATTCCATCAAAAACAATCCATCAATTCACATGCAAAACCACCATTAACACACATGCACCCAAACAAAGCCAACCTAGCTAACCCTACATGCATTCTTTATGCAACTCTTCATCATTCCACCATTCATTCTTTATTCCACAAACAAGTCACATGCATTTCCACCTTCCTACTTCATCATTTCACCACATTCTCCCTCTTTAACTCATTTCATTATTCATTCACTTTGCATTCATTCAATTCCACCCCACATGCACCCTTTATTCTTCATCATTGCAACCATGGCACATTTACACCAACAAAACAACTCCCATGCCATGGCCTACTCATGTTCCCATTTCCTTTCCAACATCTCACATGCATTTCCACCTTCCTACTTCATCATTTCACCACATTTTCCCTTTTATTTCCACATGCAATTCTTCATCATTGCAGCCACAAACACCTTAAACAAATAGCCATATACATCTCCACTCCTCCTATAAATACCCTTGCATTCATTCATTCAAAAATCATCTCATCTCATTCACAACACAACACACCACAAACACTTCCCTAGCCGTGAGTTTCTCTCCCTTAGAATCCAAAAACCATCTTCCATTTCCACCACTCCTCATCCATTTCCATAATTTCCCAACACTTCCATCCCCCCAACCAACTATCCCTAGACCTTATGCTACAATAAAGAGGAAGATAAGAGGGCCTAAACGTTCATACAATTCAAGATTGAGTTGTTGGAATGTTTAGGCGTTTCTTTGATTTCAATGTTTAATTTCAATTCTCTTTGTTTTGTACGTATGAGGAAATAAACCCCCTTTAGCTAGGGGGTGATTCGAAACTATGTTTATGTTTGTAATATGATTTGATTACTTTTAATTACGTTTCATAAGTTGTGAATTCAATTTGTTTAACTGTTTGATTGATAACCTATTTATGTATGTTTATTAAGAATGAACGCTTAATTTTCATGCATGAATTTGACGCTAGAATATAAGTGAGTTTCACGTAATAGTTATGAACTTATATTCACAAGTAGTGGAGGTTGCTTATAAACAATCGTGTTAAACATATTCTTGGCATAAGTTTCATGCAATCATAGTAACGAATGCCTCGTCAACACTTATAGTTTTCATGATGCTTAATGATTCTTGCTTGTATCTCTATTATGCAATTCATGTAGGGAACTTGTGAGGAATGCTTTGGATTGTCGTATGCAATCATCCAATTCATTAACTTAAGGAAAACTTGACGGTTAATTTAAGCGGACCTAATTAACCCGGGGCGTTGAGAATTCATGGTTTATTGAAAAGCAATTAGACATCGTTTTGTATGCAAGTATAACATATGTGGAGATGAACCCCTTAGCTAGCTTCCCATCCATTCATTTCCGTCAAATCCATATTTACAATTTGTTTTATTTCCAAGTTTCCATTTTTAGTTTAAATTCGTCCAAATCCAATCTCCCCCCTATTTCGTTGAAGTCTTATTCTTAATCTTTCTTATTTTTAGTTTTGCATTCTTTGAGCATTAAATAGTGTTTTATATTGTGTTTTTACGTTTTTAAGTTAAATCCAAGTATCCATTTTAGTTTAAAGTCGTCCAAATCCAATCCCCCTTTACTTAATTGTTCAATTTAGTTAGAAATCAATTTAGTTTGTGTTTTTAAAGCATTTTGAGTCTTTTGGTTTGTCTTAGTGTTTTAACGTTTAGTTTCACATTCTTTGAGTCTAGTTTAGTGTTTTATCTTGTTTTTACGTTTTTGAGTCAGTTTCCAAGAGATTAACAATCCCTCCTAATCCCCGGTCCAGAACGATCCCTACTTACATACTTACTACAATTGACGAAAAGAGGGTTTAATTTGTGTGCGTATAATTCTCGCATCAAACATGCAAAGGAACACTTTGGCGTACACTCCAATGAGTAAGGCATATTTTCATAGTAAAAAGAGAGAAATTATGGCCAGACGGGAGTTGTTTATATCCAACTATGCTCCTACAATGGGGGATGAAGATGATGACTATGGTCTTTAAATTTAAGTTATTGTAGTCTTTAATATTTAAGTTGTAGTTTTTAAATTTAAGTTGTTGTAGTATTTAAATTGAAGTTGTAGTCTTTAAATTTAAGTTGTAGTTTTTAAATTTAAGTTGTTGAATCTTTAAATTGAAGTTGTTGAATCTTGAACTTGAAGTTGTTGAATCTCTAAATTTAAGTTGTTGTACTCTTTAATATTTGAGTCGTTAAATTGAAGTTAAACAATATTTAACAATATGAAACTTAAACAACATTAAACAACACAATCTCCACCCTAGTACTACTTGGGGAGTTATTCAAACTTAAACAACATGAAATTTAAACAACATTAAACAAAACATTTAACAACGTAAAACTTAAACGCTTACTCCATTATTCTTTTAGCCCAAAGGTGTGCAACAAGATCCTATTGTAGGTACTTGTTTGTGGCACGCAAACGTATCATCCTATGACACCTCATGTACTCGTTTAAAGAGATATTACTAGTTCTTGGATCCAAAGACAAATTAAACCCATCATATTCTTTCGCACGAGCCTTCCTTGACCCATTTGGATCTTCTTGGTCGTCATCAGACTTTCCATCAATATAACCATCTCGCTCATCCTCCACAATCATGTTGTGTAATATGATACACAACATCATGATGAAAGTTCAATTCATCTCGACTTCACCCTCTTGTCGGTTCCTTAATGATCTTTCACTGTGCTTGTAGAATACCACAAGCTCTCTCAACATCTTTCTAGTACGCCTCTTGGTGTAAGGTAAACCACCTTTGGGCGTCATCCACAAGGTTTGCAATTGCTTGGACAAGTGTCCCATTTTGGGTAGATGTCATCTGCCAGGTAATACCCCATATTGTATTGACGCTCGTTGATGAAGTAGTCAAGTTGAGGGGATTTACCCTCCGTCAGGTTATTAAAGAGGGGTGAACGCTCGAGTACTATAGTATCATTTTGGGATCTTGGAACTCCAAAGAAAACATGTCAGATCCATGTGTTAAATGAGGCAACCGCCTCTAACACAATAGTTGGCTTTCTCAATCTTCCGCTATATCCTCCTTGCCATCTGGTGGCAGTTCTTCCACTACCAATGCATGCAATCTAATGACCCTATCATGCTGGAAAGCCACGATCTTCAGTTTTACAAAAGAGCTTAGCCAAATCTGCTTGATTTGGTTCACGAAGGTACTCCTCTTTGTAAATCTGAACAATTGTGTGACAGTGTGTGACAGAATTCAGCAAGATTATCAAGGCATGTAAACTCAGACATACCATATGTAGCATCCATCGCATCAACTGGGAAGGCATAGTCAAGCATTCGGAGTGCAATAGTAACCTTTTGGTGAGGTGAGAAACCAGGGTGGCATGCTCTATCCATCTTGTGTCGAAAGTATGGATTAACATGTTGGACATCATGAAGTAAATGCTTGAAGACATAATGCCTCATTCGGAAGCGATGTCTGAAATTCTCTTCTGTGTACACCGAGTTGGAGTTGAAGTAGTTCATCAAAGTCTGATGAGCAATTTCTCTATTTCGTGGTTTGTAAGAGCGACCAACAACAGAGCCACCCCATTGAGGTTGTTCTTCAGTTTCCTCACAAGCCATGACCCCAGCCATTACTACCCTATATGTTGTGTTGCACCATGGTTCATCTTCTTCATCGAACTCCTCATCTTCTTGCCTCATTTGCGCCCATTTATCTTCCAATTCAAAATTGGATGAGGACCCCCAGTTGGAATGCAAAGAGGATCCAAAGTTAGAATTCATCGCAAACTTGAATTGAAAGAGATATTGGAGAGGGCAAAGATGAAGATGTGTGAATTCTACCCCAATATCCAGCCAATTTATTAACATTGGGAGTTGAAGATAAAAAGTGTCACATAGATAAGAATCCTATCTAAAATTTGCACAACCAATTACATCTTGACACATGGCACTCAAAATCCTATCTGAAAAATTATTATGATTACATAAAGATAAGAAATTTGGAGAGTTACTCACTTTAGCGACATGTATCACTCGAAGTCCTATCCGAAAAATTATTGAGATTACATAAAGATAAGAAATATGGAGAATTACTCATGTTAACGACACGTGTGACCCGAAATCCTATTCGAAAAATTATTGAGATTATATAATGATAAGAAATCTGGAGGCTTATTCATTTAGAGACAAGTGACCATCAAAATATGATAAAAACCTTATTTTAATATGGTAGTTTAATTTAATTAACCATATTAATTCAATTAAAATAATAAAAATATATATATATTAATTATGTTTGGCCTATGGCTCTTGGCCCCCTTGGTTGGAAATGATTTTTTTGTCAAAGGACTACGTTTGGCCTATGACCCATTGATCCCCTTGGTTGGAGATGATATAAAATATAATCTGACATTGTTTATTAAAATATAATTTTTATAGGACTATAGGGCTAATACGACCATTTGGCCTCTTTAGGTTAGAGATGGCCTTAAACACCTCAGCTGCTATGACAATACATCCAACAATTACAATTGTTTTAATCCTAACCGTCTATTACAACTAAGAACAATTACAAAGTATGAACAACTTGAGCTAAGAAATCCAGAAAACCAAAATTCTTCGGCCTTCGATTCTTCATTCCATCTGCAACAATGCTTACACTTAAACAGTGATGATGTTGTCGTTGTCAGACATGGTTGAAGGCGATGGGCTGGGAAAAAATTGTAGGATCATTACGTCGTTAGACAGAGGGCTCTCATACCATGTAAAACTTAGAACACTCAGGAAATATTTCACCTGAATCACACACCATCAAACTGATGGAAGCTGTGTATGTATAATGTATAGATTACATCAGGATTACAACATGTTTTCAAAACCCTATTTACACGTTGGGCATCAACACATTTGAATTTCAAACACCATAGATAAAAAACACACAGGTAACAAACATTTGAATTTAAACAAGACCTAACAGACTTCATCTTGGATAAGGACTGATAACAAACAGGAGAGTTTGTTTTCAACTGGAAGTCCGACTTGGTCACATGTCTGTGTTATGAATGATCAACCAAACATGATTTCGTATATTTCTTGCTTCTCTGGTGGCATTATATATACTAATAACAACAATCATTATCCTTCTGCATCTCCCAGATTTATTTCTGCATGTGTTCCTAAATCACTAGAGATATATGTAAGAGTGCATGTGCACTACTACGAAACCATTTATTAGCGTCGTTATGATAACCGACAAGAAACATATATTACTGTCAGATTTTACTTAAAATCCGACAAAAAATGGATGCAGTGGTGGATATAATAAGCGATTGAATTGCCAACATCAGGAAATGAATTTTCCAACAGAAAATACTCTAAAACCAACATAAATTGTGTCGGATATAACCAACAGAGAATATATTAATAATGAATAAATAAGAGCATTTATATCAGCTAAAACCAACAGAAAATACTGAAACCAACAGAGAATTTATTAATATGAATAAATAAAAGCATTCTTGTCGAATAAAACCGAAAGAAAATATATTAATAATAGAAAAAATTATAAACCACTTTCTGCATTTTCCATATTCACTGCACTTTCTGCATTTTCCATATCCCCTGCATTCACTGCATTTTCCATATCCCCTGCATTCACTGCATTTTCCATATTCAACCTATGTTTCAAATCCTTCCTCTCTGATGACAACATGTTTGCCAGGGAAGAATTTGTATGGGCACACCAAAACTGTCACGGTTACTAGAATTCAGACTAATAGATTTCCTCGTCGAAGCGAAGAGAAGGAGAAGAATGAAGAAACTAACATCTACAAATTTATACACAACAAAAATTTACTAACCACATTTACATTTTATAAGCATCAGCTCCTGTATAGCCCATCGGCTTAATTATACTCACATGTTATAAGCATCAGCTCCTGTATAGCCCATCGACTTCACTAAAGGAACTAACACCTACAAATTTATACACAAAAAATATTTACTACCAATGTAAAATCACCAAGAAATAAACACTATATTTACCTCACGATTCACGGCAAAAGTTGGGCAGTATCGACCGATCATATATGCCATTCGGTTTTCATCTGAAACCGCGAAATTGCACAAAACCCATTAAAAATTAAACAGAACCCATTAAATTTGAACAAAACCCACTAAAATTTGAACAAAACCCATTAAAATTGAGCCGAAATTGAATAAATATTTTAGAGAGAGTGTACGGACAGAGTGATAAAGGCCCATCTTGCTCATGGGGACGATGTCTCCTGGCTTGTAAGCAACAGATATGCAGGGCAGCACGGAGAAAGAAATCAACAGAGGGAGCAGCATGAGTGAGAACCTCGACCCCCTTCCACTTCCCGTCATCTTGTAATTTCTATCGCTTTGACTCGATCTTCTGAAGTTGGAGACTGGAGATTATAGGTGATGCAGTCGACGGGCAGAAATGTGAAGGAATTATTATTTCGGGTTTGACGTTTGGAGAAAAGGAGGAAGGAAGGGAAAAGGGGAAGGGGTTTTATTCTGGAAAATTTTATTACTGTTAGTTACAATTGATAGAAATATTTTTTAAAATATAAATCAATAGAAAAGTTTTACTACTGTCAGTTAGAAAAAAATGACGGCAAAAATCCTTCCAAAATTTTAAATTCCCTCTCAAAATTTTTATTCCCCCACCACAAAATTTTGTTACGATTTTAAAAAATAAAATAATAATTTTTTGGTTTAATAAATAAATCATATGTATTTAAATAGAATACATTTTTTTAAAATTAAATAAATAATTGTTTGGTTTAATAGATAATAACCCATGTAAAATATGCAATAAAGAAACAAAAAAATAATTGTACAATGAAAATGTCATCACACAAACTAAATATTGTCCAATCAATACTTGAAAAACATAAATAAAAATTTAGCACAAATTACTTTTCCCACTTAAAAATTTAGGCAAATTTAACAGAGATATGCATTCTACGAAACTAGTTTCAATGATCTAACTGTCAAACTTATTTGTAGAGACTACAAGATCGCATACGTAAAAAATCACAAAAAAAAAAAAAAACAAAACATTCAGAGATTAAGTAATGAAACAAAAGTTTTGGACGGTTATAAACGAAAAATCACAATTTAACGGTTATTTTAGCTCCAATTTTAATGATTTTTTTTACAGCTACACTCCTCAATCCTATAACAATGCAATGAATAAATTTGATCTTTAATTTAAAATATTTACACTAGTGGATACCACAAAATCTTATTTTATACTTAATGGAGTATAACATTAACTCTTAAATGTTTATTTAATCTACTGTTTTGACGTGATACACATTCTACGAAACTTTTTTTCAATGATCTAACCGTCAAATTTATTTGTACACACTTTAAGATTGCATATGTAAAAAATCACAAAAAAACAAACATCCAGAGATTAGGTAACAGAACAAAAGTTTTCGACGGTTATAAACGAAAAATCACAATTTAACGGTTATTTTAGCTCTGATTTCAATGATTTTTTACAGCTACACTCCTCGACCCTATAAGAATGCAATGAATAAATTTGATCTTCAATTTAAAATGGATACCACAAAATCTTATTTTATACTTAATGGAAGTGTAACATTAACTCTTAAGTGTTTATTTAATTTACCGTTTTGACGTGATACACATTCTACGAAACTTTTTTCAATGATCTAACCGTCAAACTTGTTTGTACACACTCTAAGATTGCATACGTAAAAAATCACAAAAAACAAATGTTCAGAGATTAGATAACGGACAAAAGTTTTCGACGGTTATAAATGAAAAATCACAATTTAACGGTTATTTTAGCTCCAATTTTGATGATTTTTTACTTTGTTCGTGTCGGTTATATCTGACTGGGTCATGAGTGAAATCTTTTTTTTAAACCATGTGTTTATTTATTTATTTATTTTTAATCAATATAACATTTTAAAATAATAAAATAATCAATTTCGGTTGATTATAACCACCATAATACTAAAATAATAACCCCCAGATGTGTTTGATATCGATTACATCGCATCTAGATGTGAAAATGTAAAACCTTATCTCTAAACAGAATTTTTTTTTATATTTTTAATTTTTAAGTTATCTGTAATCTTAGTCTAGAAGCTGATACTTTAATTTTTTTGTATATTTTTTAAATTATCTATTATCTTAATCTAGACCATGAGAGTTGTACAAACTGTAAGTTCTCCGATTTAGTGAGTAATAAAGTAAAATTATACAAAGGATTTACACAAAAAAAGATTTTGGAGACTTGTATACTTTCAGGTTTGGATGACATATTGAAAGGGAGATTGAAAAGAAAACAACTTGTGAAAATGCGGTTATTTAAGATAAATTTAAGAAAAATATTTTATACTTTACATATCAAATTGTGTATGATCTCCAATTCGATATGTCTCAATGTTGTTTAATTTATATGATGTATGAAAAATATATCAAGATTGGCAACGTTGATCTTGAGTTTATATAGTAGTTTAGGAAATTGGAAGGTTTGGGGATGTAAATGAGAAATGGTCAGGGGGGGAAGCCAATCAAGAACAAAAAGAAAAAAGCGAAAAATGTGTATGATTATCGTTTGAAGGGAAATGACGGAAAGGACTATAGGTCCTGCAGATTAGTATCTCACAGGTCCATGAATGAAAAAAAATAATATTTAAGCTATGTGTTTATTTATTTATTTTTAATCAATATAATATTTTAAAATAATAAAATAATCAATTTCTGTCGATTATAACCGTCAGAATACTAAAATAATAACTGCTAAAAACTAAAATAATAAAATAATCAATTTTTGTTGGTTATAACCACCATCATTAACTTAAAAACCGCCGGAATATGTTAAAAAGAATTAAAAAATACAGGCGGTTATAATAATTTTATGGTGGTTGCATCCGACACTAATATCCACTAGGAATTTATGTTGGATATAACCGACAGGATTTCATTGTTATTCGATACTAACTGAATGATGTGTCGGATATCTTTTTTCTGACATGATGGCTTATTAAACCGTCATCATCATCTAACACCTAAAGCTAATATTGTAGTAGTGGTGAGTTGAAAGGGTTGGTTTGTGAGTTCGACTTCCTATAGGGAGATTATATTCACACACTCCAAATTATCTCCCACAAATTTTTAATTTTTTAATATTTTTCTATCAAGTGTTAGTGGTGTGTAGAAAATATTAAAAAAATTAAAATGGTGTGAGAAAAGTAATTTGGATAAATACTTTGAGTTATAGTGTTGCTTCGTTGGTTAGAAAGGGCTGTAGGTTTACATATGTTCTTGTGTTTTATTACGTCCAAAACTAAGAGCTTTGAGCCAGATATGAAGCATTTGAGAATTTTCTTCAAGTGTGATAGGAAACTGAAGTTCCTGATCAGGTGCTGCTATATGCATTTGGCATCATTATTTAAAGGCTTTGCTAATTTTCTTGGTATATTAGGTCGTGTTTTCGGCACATTTTAAAATTTCTCCACAACTGAATTTTCATAAAGAAATTTCTCTTATATAAATGTGGGTTTCGAGTCATTCCTAGCATTTTTGTTGCAAGTTACATTAAAACAAAGTTACACCATATTTTTATTTTATTTTATAAAAATATGAACTTGAGTGTAGAAGGGAGTGCACATTATTCTGACTAATATTCTTATTTGCAATAACAAAGGAGACAACTGCTCATGTTAAAAGAAAAATAAAAAAAAGTCATGTGCATGCAATATACATGACGAACAATACTTGGCTACTCAAAGATAAGTAGAAACTCATACTCAAAACTCTTAATGTTTTAATCGCAGAACTTTGTGCTTATGATAAGAACTGTTCATACTATGAATCACATTATAAAGATCATCTCTGCAAAAAATAAATTAAAACTAAGGTCGTTTAGTCAATCTATTGTGCAAATACGTAGACGGTTCATAATGCTTTTACCAATACCGTTCATTTGTTTTTAAATAGTTTGATGACTAAATGACATTAGTTTTAATTGATTTTTTTGCAGACAATCTTTATATAGTGATTTATAATATGAACGGTTCTGATTATAAACACGAAGTTCTATGAATTGACAACGAATAATTTTGAGAAATTTTAAGTAGGAGTTTCTACTCATCTTTGAGTAGCCAAGTATTGTTCATATATGACATTACATTTCCAAAAGTCGACCAGTTGTGTTTACATAGCTGTCTAAAATTCTACATACTAGCCTTTATGCACGCGCTCACGCGTGTGAAGAAGACATTTTTTAAATCACGATGTGCTACGCACAATGTGGAGCCAAAAATAATCACAAGGCGACACGCGGATTTTTGGATAGAGGAGGACAAAAATACCCTTGAGGCATACTGGGATTCTTACGTGCAAGCAGCAGACAATCATCCCTTAACCAAGTCAAAAGTGCCCAAAGAAGGTAACAAATTCAAAATTATTTCATCCTTCCTCATTCCATATTAAGACATTTTTTTAAATCACGACGTGCTACGCACGATGTGGAGCCAAAAATAATCACAAGGCGACACGTGAATTTTTGGATAAAGGAGGACAAAATTACACTTGAGGCATACTGGGATTCCTACGCGCAAGCAGCGGACAATCATCCCTCAACCAAGTCAAAAGTGCCCAACGAAGGTAACAAATTCAAAATTATTTCATCCTTCCTCATTCCATATTCTTTACAAAGCAATCATTCCATAACCTTCAAAACATTCCATAAAAATTAGGTTAATTGGTTAATTAATGGATTTATTTCCTAATTAATCCATTAATTATCAATTAATCACCCATTACACAAATTATCACCCATTACACACCAAAAATACCCCGAAGGGTCGGCCACTTTTTCTCCAAAGGGGATCGACCAAGCTCTATATATTGAACCTCATTTTTCTCTAAAAAGCTAGGTCTTCACTCTTGCTAAAATTCTCCAAAACTCTCAAACACTTTTCTCTCTAAATTCTAACTTTGGCATCGAAGGTTCTTCGGCCAAAGCCCCCTCTTCATTTTGGGCGCGTGAGGCTCTTGGCCTTGACCTAAGGTGTTATTTGTTTTGTAGGTGCAATTTTGTCCAAGATCAAGGAGGAAGAAATTTGCATCCACACACGACTTACACATTTTAAATGTATTTATATGCGTGAATTGACAAAAGGAAAGTCAAATATCTGAAGTAAATGAATAATCTTATATCATGTTAGAAAAAATCCCTACAAACTAATTAAAACAGTTGAATTCACATAATAGAAAATAATATTTAGTAAACAATTGATTGAATCACATTATTATTAGCTCATTGTGAGGCTAAGCTCACCGCCTTAGTGTAGATAATATCGTTCGTTAAAAAAAAAAATTTGACAACTAATTTAATCACATTATTATACGTGTGTGAAAGATCTTTTTTATAATCAGCATTACCCCTCACAAACCAATCAAAGCAGCTGAATTCAAATAATAAAATCAATCTTTCAATTTTCATCTACATTCTATTAAATTTACATTAAGA